GGAATTGTAGTAGAATTTTTCTATACTAAAACTGCATTTGACAACTTTTTACATCTATCACCAGCCAATTTTGAGACTGGTAGTAGAACGAATCAAACATATTTAGATGCTTGTGATTCCTGTGTTCATTACTCAGGTACAATAAATGAGCATATTACAGATTTAGAAATCAAGTATAATCATGAATCATATTTTTCTATGGATTTTACACATTTGAAAAATCTTACAACATTAATATTCAGTAATATAAATTTTAAATCACATACCCAGGAAAGTCTGTATGAATTAGGTCAAGTATATTCAAATATACAGAATTTAGCCTACATTGAATGCAATTTTCCTAATGTTATCGACATGACATTTTTACATCGTGGTTTCAGACATTTGAAACAATTTCGCTTGGACCATAAAATAGCTAGTGATAGGTTTCTACAAAACTTGCTTAACATAAATCATGATTTAGAAACTATAATTTTTAGAAATTGCATTGTAACTGGTGACAGATGGTTTGATGTTCTAGTAAACAAACTTAAGGGGCGGTCAATAACAAGTTTAAGTATACACAGTCAAAATTTTACTTTTGAAGGTATAAGCAAATTTTTAAACACAGATATCTTTAAATCAGATACATTGAAAGTAAACATTAGTTATGATGGAACAATAAGCATTCCATTTTGCATTAATTTTGTTTAAATTATACATTTTTTTTAAATAACAATATTGTGTTTTAACAATTATATTTAGATAATTCTTCAATAATAATTGAAAATATTAATTAAATATATTTCACTGTTCAATATGATATCAAATATTTGTGTTTAATGTATTTTTTTTTTTTTTTTTGTTAACTGATATTTAAAATCTGTTGTGTTTACTCAAATAGCTACCTAAATATCTAAAGTTTATAAAATGATTTATTAGTTTATAAAATTATATAAATATAATGATATATACCTAATAATAAATTTTTAATTTGAAACTAATGGTATTATATACTAATTAAAATATTTATTCAGTAATTTTTATTTTTTATTTTGATGTATATATTTTGTATTTATATATTTCTTTACTCTAAATATAATGGGTTAACTCTTAAATATTTTAAACAAACCATTTTTGTAATTTTCTTTCTTTTTACTGCTAACATCTCTAAATGGAAAAATAAAATCAAGTAATGATGCATGGATTCATCAAATTTATTTCATAAAATATATAATCAAATATTATATAGATAATCTGATATTTAAAACCTGTTGTGTTTACTCAAAATGCTACCAAAATATTACAGTTCTAATCCTGAAAAAAGACTTCAAAATGCTATAATATTCAATATTTAGTTAATCCTCTCAACTCTGACTTCACCATCATTCATAAATCGGCAGTATACGTATGTTCAAAATGAAAAAATGGAAAAATTAGATTTGTTCCACATCATTTTTTTACTCAAACAATTTTCGTCAAAATTTTATATTGAAGTTCCTTTATAAAAAAAAAATACTAAATTAAACTAAATTTTTTTTTGACCACAAAGTGAGATTTTACCATTTGTCACATCCCCTACCATTGTAAATTACTGGGCACGCCACTGGACAAAGCAATAATAAATTAAATATAGTAGTAGTAAGTATTAAAATATACAATAATAATAATATGTATTAATAATTATTATTATGAGAAACTATACAGTGCAGTTACTACTTGCTATTAGTAGTAGGCGTAGTAATAATATTGTTATCTATCTCAGGGGTATTACATTAATTATAATATTATGTCAAAGCTTCTACCCATAGTGCTTTTAAAAAAAAATGGCCCTCAACGGTGGTGTACCTTGTGGCGGTATTTCTACAAACCATGGTTCTCATAATTTTTTTTAATGTTATATTAATTAATCGTGTTATTTTTATTTGCAGACAAATAAAAATCGTGATACTAAATTAGCTGAATTTTTCATAATTTGTATTATGATATACTGTATTTAAATAACGGTGTAAAAAATAAACATTTTTAAGATAATATACAAATAAGTAATTAATTTAAATTTGCCCGTANAACACTACTTAACATGATATATTTAAATATTAATGTTAGGAAAATTTCTTTATTTGTCACATCTTCCTTGAACATAAATCGAATACTCAGTATTCTAGATATTATGTTTTTGAAGATTTTTTTTATGTTAAAACTCTAATAACCTATGTATTTACATTACAATAACATCACTATTAGATGTATGTTTCTTTTATGTTGTAATTAAATATTGTTACCTACATTGTTATTATACCATAGTTACTGTTTTGAATTTGTATTAATTTTGTGTGTTGGATGTGATTTAACTATAAGCTCTGGTAGCAGCTGACCAGCAGTTTACCAACATTCTAAGACATAATATGACCCTCATATATGTTCGTGCATGTTCTATGATAAAACTTATGTTTACGAATAATCTTGATCCTTCCTCATTGGTTTTTGATCTATTATTTATGATTTATTAATTATTTTTTTACCCACTACTGGACACTACTATGAAAAAAAATAGATAAAAGTATAATAATAGTATCAATCGGACTGTCAATGTAATAAACACAGGGTCATCGTGAAATCTGATCCTGCTCTGATAAAATGAAGCAAGACTCTTGAGTTATAATAAAATAATAATAATAAAATACTATAACATAATGACCTATACCTGTTTACCTAACGATAATTATGCAACAGGCTGAAATCACATTCTCTAATTCATTAGTAGTATTACAATTAATTGACCATATACTTCTATTCTCTGAAATTCAAAAAATTATTAAAAATTGCGAATAGTGGATATGTCAATAATTTAAGAAAAATAAACCCCTCTAAAATCTTCAGTTCCTTTTAAAACAAGAAAATAAAAAATTATTTTTTTAGGTTTTTTGTCAAAATAAAACATAATTCGATTATCTTTATTATTCACAAAGATATTACATGAGTTATGACTTTGTGGGATACCTGTATATAAATTTGGAATTAATATTCCTTTCATTATTTAACTAAATAATTAAAATATCATTTAATCAATTGTTTATTTAAGATATAGATCCACAGTAATGACTATAAAGTTATTTACTCATTTCCATTGTAATGGATAGTGGTTATGAAAGGGATATTGATGGTAGGTATAAATTCATTTAAATTTAGGAAGTGATTATTTCAGTGTCGACAGTTATCTACTAATTTTCGCTGTACTAAAGATATTTTATTAACTCATCTATTGACAATAAAGGCATAAACCTTATCGATCCATCGTCTTTCATCATCTCGAGCACTAACCATATTTGTTGGTTGTCGATCAGATGATTTTGAGAGGAAATCGGATGTTTCAAATTTTTGAAAACCAAACGGGGTCACATATAACACATAAATATTTTTAACATCCTTAAAACGGAATCACTCGGTACCAACTGATTTTTCCGTTTTAAGTTGATTTCGTCGTACGGTGGCTCCGATATAAGATGGTTTTTTTGTACCTATAAAAATAAATTGCACACAGTGGTCGCGCAATGAGATATACAAGCCATGTTTTATCATAAGAAATCGTTGTTTATTTTCGACTCAATTTCTGAATTCGCTTCGTTAAAGCAGACAAGGCCAGCGGCATGTGCACGGTAGGAGATTAGAGGTTTTATCCCCCCCCCCACTCACGGGCTTAAAAATACTAAATTTTTCATAATTTGTATTATGAAATACTGCATTTAAATAACGATGTATAAATAAACATTTTTAAGATAATATACAAATAAGTAGTCAATTAAAATTTGCCGCGCTTTATATCGCGTTCATTTTAGAGCCCCTGCGTCAAATAGTCTACTAGGCGCGCCACCATTGATGGCAACTTTTCGTGAAATAAACTATAGTATAGATATCAAAAGCTATAATACAGTATAGCTATTATAATGATAATAAATAATACTGATAGTAGATACAAAAACGGATTAGTCATTTTCGTTATTAAATTATTTAGGTACCAT